GACCTACAAAAACAAACCCAAAACAATTAAGAAAATGGTCATAGGGACATACATATCAATAATTACCTTAAACTTGAATGGATTAAATGCTCCAACCAAAAGACACAGGCTTGCTGAATGGATACAAAAACAAGACCCATATATATGCTGTCTACAAGAGACCCACTTCAGACCTAGGGACACATAGAGACTGAAAGTGAGGGGATGGAAAAAGATATTCCATGCAAATGGAAATCAAAAGAAAGCTGGAGTAGCTATACTTATATCAGATAAAATAGACTTTAAAATAAAGAATGTTACAAGAGACAAGGAAGGACACTACATAATGATCAAGGGATCAATCCAGGAAGAAGATATAACAATTATAAATATATATGCACCCAACATAGGAGCACCTCAATACATAAGGCAACTGCTAACAGCTATAAAAGAGGAAATCGACAGTAACACAGTCATAGTGGGGCACTTTAACACCTCACTTACACCAATGGACAGATCATCCAAAATGAAAATAAATAAGGAAACAGAAGCTTTAAATGACACAATAGACCAGATAGATTTAATTGATATTTATAGGACATTCCATCCAAAAACAGCAGATTATACTTTCTTCTCAAGTGCGCACAGAACATTCTCCAGGATAGATCACATCTTGGGTCACAAATTAAGACTCAGTAAATTTAAGAAAATTGAAATCATATCAAGCAGCTTTTCTGACCACAACGCTACAAGATTAGAAATCAATTACAGGGAAAAAAAACATAAAAAACACAAACACATGGAGCTAAACAATACGCTACTAAATAAGCAAGAGATCACTGAAGAAATCAAAGAGGAAATCAAAAAATACCTAGAGACAAATGACAATGAAAACACGACAATCCAAAACCTATGGGATGCAGCAAAAGCAGTTCTAAGAGGGAAGTTTATAGCTATACAAGCCTACCTCAAGAAACAAGAAAAATCTCAAATAAACAATCTAACCTTACACCTAAAGGAACTAGAGAAAGAAGAACAAACAAAACCCAAAGTTAGTAGATGGAAAGAAATCATAAAGATCAGAGCAGAAATAAATGAAATAGAAACAAGAAAAATCTCAAATAAACAATCTAACCTTACAAAAGAAAAAAAAAAAAAGAGGTGCCATGTTATACATCACTAGTTCTAAAGTTCCATCTTTTAGGATTCTAGGACCAGTCTTCCTTCTTGTTTGTTTCTTGTTTATTTTTCTCTTTTTCAGTCTTCAAGAGCTTCTCACAATAGTATCTCAGATTCTGGTTTTATTGTAAATAGTGCAGACAAGAGGCAGGGATTTGTCTCAGTGGCTGGAGGAGAAAGTTGAGAAGGTCAAAATGTAGAGAGCTCTTGGGAGGGTCAAAGCACGAAGGGTTTTTACGCAGATGAACTCTCCCTTGGTAGTGGGTTGAATTACATCCCCCCAAAAGATATGTCCAAGTCCTAACCCAGTACCTTTGAATGTGACCTTATTTGGAAATAGGATCCTTGAAGATGTTAAAGATCTTAAGGTCAACCTGGTTAAGGTATTTGCTTATCTGCAGAAGTGCGGGCCCTAAATCCAGCAGCTGGAGTCCTTATAAGAGAAAGGAGATTTGAGACACAGACACAGACACACAGAAGAGAAGGCCATGTAAAGATGGAGCAGAGATCAGAGTGATGGCGTCTACAAGCCAACGAACGCCCAGGATTGCCCACACCACCAGAAGCTAAGAAGAGGTATGGAATGCATTATCCCTCAGAGCCTCCTGAAGGAACCAATCCTGCTGACACCTCAATGTTGGACTCGCGGCCTCCAGAACTGTGAGAGAATAGGTTTCTATTGCTGCCAAGTTTGTGGTAATTTCTAATGGCAGCCCCAGGAAGCTAATACACCCTCTATATCTTATGCTTTCTTCTTTCATTTTATTCTCGTTTCCCGACTTGCCTGGTGAGCCACTGAATGCCTTTTCAGCAGACCTGGGAAGTCAGTCCTGGTAAGTGGGGTCAGGCCTACTTCAGTTTCCTGAACAAAATGTTCAGAAAACATTGGAGTTTTTCCCAGAATAACAACATAATGTACAAATTGGGCCCCCTGGCTCTAAAAATTCAAACTGATAAAGGCAGTTTAAGACTCTGAGCAAAACTACAGTAGTGATTTATGGTTTACAAAGTATTTAGACCAAAGTCCACTAGAACTACCAAAATAATAAGTCCCAACCCCCAGTACTTGTTTTAAAGTCACCTCCATTCTAGAGAGCGCTGGGGTCTGATTAGGAATGCCCAAATGATCAAGTCTCATCTCTTTGACTAAACTGTTATTGCTGCTGCTAATAGCTGAGGAGGTATCAAAGCAAGAGTATGCCCTGCACAGAGAGAATTCCCTTCTAAATAAAAATCAATTTTGCTAATAAACACTATCTTTTAGAAGCATTTTTTTAGATCTTCTTAGCTGTTTTTCTGTTCTGTACTAGCACTACATGAAGCACATCTTACTGTCTTTACCCTTCCTTTCATTATTATGCCAGCAGAAAAAGATGCATGTCACACTTTCTAAGAAAAGTTGCGGAGGGAGGGTGAGAGGCAGCGTCGTCTATGGGGGCTTATTCCCATAGAATGATGGGTGTCTGTAAGAAATGAAAATAGATGGATTTGGAAGTAGTTCTGGGGTCTGACATTTGAGAACTGGTTTCCAATTTTGCACTTTACATTATAGCAATGAATTTCATGTGGTTAAAATTTCAAAAGTTAATTTTGTTTTCAGGAAGATTTTCTATTGTGCTAACAGTTTTTATTTTAAGTAAACTGTCATTCATTTGGATTGAAATGTATAAACTGGACTAATTACAATTTAGATCCGCTCAAAGTAGAGAAACAAAGGTTACAGGAGAGTAATGAGAAATACATTCAACCGATTTTTATTTTAGTGTTTTTAGCTTCTTGCGTGAATCAGGCCCCTGTGCTGGGTGTCGAGACACCCCGCCTAGGAGTTCAGAGTCCAGCAGGGGAATCAGACAATGCTAACGTGGTGGGGCTGTGCCGGGAGCCATAGCAGCCTTGAGGAGGGCACCGAGCCTCAGCGGAGGGGATGCTTCCCAGGCGGTGACATCTTAGCGGGGACCGGTGGAGGCCGGCCGGGCTCGGGGCTGGGTAGGAAAGGAAGGGGAACAAGATGGAGGGAACCACAAATGCAAAGGCCCAGCGCTTTGGAGATCATAAAAAATTTGAGAAACCAAAAATAGAACAGAAGGGTGGGAATAGGGAGGCCGGAAGGTGGGGAAAACCTCTGAAAGATGAAGTCAGTCAGAGGAGTAAGGACTGGATGACGGAGGCCTTGGATATCAGGCCAAGAAGTGTGCCCTGTCTTGAGGGGGACTGGGAGAGTCAGTACAAAGTTTTAACCAAGGTGTGATGTGACCAGATTTGTGTGGCTCAGTCAGGATGGCACTAAAAGAGAGGAGGAAGGCCAAAAAAGGCCAAGGAAATTAAGCTCAGTCGTTCACATCTTATTAGGGAGCAAATCCCACTGCCTAAAATGTCAGAGTCCACTTTTTTTTTTTTTTTTTTTTGCGGTACGCGGGCCTCTCACTGTTGTGGCCTCTCCTGTTGCGAAGCACAGGCTCCAGATGCGCAGGCTCAGCAGCTATGGCTCACGGGCTCAGCAGCTATGGCTCACGGGCCCAGCCACTCCGCGGCAAGTGGGATCTTCCCGGACCGGGGCACGAACCCGTGTCCCCTGCATCAGCAGGTGGACTCTCAACCACTGCGCCACCAGGGAAACCCAGAGTCCACTTTTATTAAGCAAAGGATGACTGTATAGTCAAACTCCCATATGTTTTTATCTGTGTCAAGAAACCAAAGCAACTTAATCATAAAAACTGTTAACTATTATTCTGATTCTAGTACCTGAAAACAATGAAATATGAGACAAGACTTGAGCGTCTTTCCTTCTTCGGACAAATTGTGTGGCTAAGCGACCATCTTTCACTTCATGTGCTTGGAGTAGGCAGGCCTAATAAAGGGTGATGTTTGAACATTTCAAACCAAATTCCCTCAGTGGCAGGTGTTAAACAACTTGTTATTTTAAGCAATTTAGACAGATATTTGCATATACAAACAAGCACATTCTTTGAACCAGCCCATTATATAACCTCGCTTATCCCTGCAGGTAATAAGCTGCTATAAAGGCAGAATTAGATATAATCCTGGGTTTTCTGTGTGTGCACGTGCAGTCAGACCAGTAAGAAATGAGCACACTTGTTAGGGACAATAGCCGTCTTCCACTTCATTTACCTCTTATGAATTATTTTCTGCTCTCAATTCCAAATCAAGAAAAACACATCCGGGCTTCCCTGGTGGCGCAGTGGTTGAGAGTCCGCCTGCCGATGCAGGGGACATGGGTTCGTGCCCCGGCCCGGGAAGATCCCACATGCCGCGGAGCGGCTGGGCCCGTGAGCCATGGCCGCTGAGCCTGCGTGTCCGGAGCCTGTGCTCCGCACGGGAGAGGCCACAACAGTGAGAGGCCCGTGTACCACAAAAAAAAAAAAAAAAAAAAAAAAAAAGAAAAACACATCCTATTTCCTAAGTCATGCTATCAGATAAGCACCGGAAGAGGTAATATTGGTAGCAACTGCAAAGAAGCGTGTTGGGGGGTGAGACGTTTGAGTCTGCTGGTGTAATATCTAGAAATAGAGCCTTCTGTGTGTTCCCTTTTCTTTTCTCTCTGCATCCTATTCAAGGCATCTCATTCATTCATTCATTCACTCACTCACTCATTCAGCCAACTTTTTTTTTGCGGTACGCGGGCCTCTCACTGTTGTGGCCTCTCCCGTTGCGGAGCACAGGCTCCGGACGCGCAGGCTCAGTGGCCATGGCTCATGGGCCCAGCCGCTCCGCGGCATGTGGAATCTTCCCGGAACGGGGCACGAACCCGTGTCCCCTGCATCGGCAGGCGGACTCTCAACCACTGCGCCACCAGGGAAGCCCCAGCCAACATTTAAGGCTCCTACTATAGCCATGTTTTGAATATTAAAAGTGAGATTTCATATCAGATAAGGTACATTCCTGCCCTCCAACAGTTGATGGGCAGCGGCTGACAGGTTGGAATTCTTTCTGGTGCTTCAGAAAAGGACAATGTTTGTGTGGCACTGATCCCCATCTCTTCCCAGGTCTGAGAACAGCACAGGCTCTGGAGCCAGGCTATCTAGGGCTTGAATCCCAGCTCTGCCGCTCACAAGCGTCAGACCTGGGTAAGTTATTTGTCCTCTGCAAGCCTCATTTTTCTGCTCCAAAATGGAAATCCTAAAAGAGCCTACCTAATCTGATCATCATTGAGGATTAAATAAATTAAGATTTGTAAAGTGTCTACAACAAGGCCTGGCACATAATAAGGACTCAATCCATTTTTGTTATTATCATAAATGCCTGGACTTCCTGTCTAGAAATCATTGTCTGTGTGACTGCTATGTGCAGGGCAATACCCTAGGTGCTGCAGGGAGACCCAGAGTTGGGCACTGCATTCTAGCAGGTAGATATAATCTGTACACAGATAACCATCTGTAAGGAGGATATGCTCAAGCCTCCAGGCCAGCTGCAGAATGCTAGCATTTGTTATCTATTGCTGCATAACCAGTTGCCACAGACTTAGTGGCTCGAAATAACATATGCATCTTATCTCCCAGTTCTTATGGGTTAGGGATCTGGGATTGGTTTAGCCAGCTACTATCTTCAGGGTCTCTCAAAGGCTGCTGTCAAGGTATTGGCCGGGGCTGTGTTCTCATCTGAAGGCTCAACCCAGAAAGAATCCTAAACTCATGCTGCTAGAATTCAGTTCCTTGAGGGCTGTTGTACTGAGGGCCTCAGATCTTTGCTGGCTGTTGGCTGGAGGCCTCCACCTGTCCTTGCCACGTGGGCCTGTCCAACATGACAGCTTGCTTTATCAAGACATGCAACCCAGACATGCAGTAGAGAGAGTGTACTAGCAAGATGGAAGTCATAATCTTATGTAGCCTAATCACAGAAGGCAACAATCTGCTCAGGGCAGTGAGGGAAGGAAAAGTCTTCACAGCACCCATCTCTGTGATGCTCTGAACGTCCATGCACTGTGCCCCCGCCCCCAGCAACACACATGGGGACCCAACCTCTCTGTGTCTCCCTACCAGTTTCTTCAGAGTCAGATTCTGGGAGACGGTAGAAGCTCAGCTTAGTTTACCATCTTGTCAGCAACGGGAAGCGCTACGTCAGTTTTCCATATGTGAATCTTAGCTCCTTTAGCAATCGTGGCTCTCTGTCTAAATCCCTGTAAGCTCCCATTATTGGTTCAGTGCGCCCATCCCCCAGTTTCTACAGGCTCCGCTCCAAAGAGTTCATATCTATAACTTTCTTCAGAGCACTACCCTGGATCCCCTGGAACCACTTCATTCAGATGCTTCCAGAACCAAAACAGCCTGGAAAATTACAAATCCCCATTTTGGCCTGTGGCTAATGACTGACTGGTGCAGAAGTATTAACACCTAGCTCCCTTACTCTACTGGGCAATTTATTCTCAAAAGCTCCTCAGGGGTTCAAGTTGAGTCTGGAACTTTCCTTGAAATCACAACCTTACCTGGCTAATTTTTGTTCCCTATTCCGCTCTTCCTACTCCCTCTCTAATTTCTGTTGAGGAAACTTGCTTAATAAAGTATTTACACAAAAACCCTTTCCTCAGGGTCTGCATCTGGGGAACCTGCCTAAAACAGATGCTGCCATACATAGTCCCAGGAAGCTGCCCTTAAGAAAGGGATTCTGGATGCAGCTCATTCACCAGCAAGATGAAAAGGGAGGTCTCATCTCTGGTGGTAGGTGGCATTCTGTATTTTTTTTTTTCTGTGTTTGTTAGAAAATCAGCATATCTTTATTTTATACAAAAGAAAATTGCATATAATCATTGATGTAATTTTACTTACATTTAAGGACGTACATATTGATACAAACAAACCTCTAAGTCGTAGTTTATGATGAAGCATCAAGAGAGCAGAGTAGGGACTTCCCTCGTGGTCCAGTGGTAAGGAATCCACCCTACAACGCAGGGGATGTGGGTTAGATCCCTGGTCAGGGAACCAAGATGCCACATGCCACAGGGCAACTAAACCCGCGCCCCACAACTACTGAGCTCGCGCGCCTCAAAGAGAGAGCCTGCACACCACAACTACAGAGCCCACACGCCCTGGAGCCTGCGTGCCACGACTAGAGAAGAGAAAACCCGCACACCACAACTAGAGAGAAGCCCGCCTGCCACAACTAAGACCCAACACAGCCAAAAATAAATTAAATAAATAAATAAACCTTTTTTTAAAAAAATGGACAACGGGCTTCCCTGGTGGTGCAGTGGTTGAGAGTCCGCCTGCCGATGCAGGGGACACGGCTTCGTGCCCAGGTCCGGGAGGATCCCACATGCCGCGGAGTGGCTGGGCCCGTGAGCCATGGCCGCTGAGCCTGAGCTTCCGGAGCCTGTGCTCCGCAGCGGGAGAGGCCACAACAGTGAGAGGCCCGCGTATCGCAAAAAAAAAAAAAAAAAAAAAAGGACAAAAGCACCTTTATTTAAAAAAAAAGAGGAAAGCAGAATATTTTTTATGTAGCAAGCATTAATTGTGGCATTCTATATCTTTGTATCATTAAAGTCACTAAGACTCACTCTTGGTGAGCTGTGATGGCATACAGCTAAAAGGAGCTGCTTTGGCTTGTGCAACATCTCTAGCTTTTGAGAAATAGAGGAAATAACAACTATAAGGACTATGTAATTGGGTAGAATTGGGCTTGAGCAGGTCCAGAACACATGAGTAAATTGCACAAAGTAGGGACCCAGACTCTATGTTATCCACCAACCAAGACATCTTCATCAGCTCACACCTATGGCCTCATGGGGTATCCCCCATGACCAGCTGATAGAGGAAAGATCCCAAGTTTGGCTCACAGATGGGTTGACTCAGTATACTGGCACAAACTGAAAATGGACAGCTGCACTATAGCCCCACCCAGAGGTGGCTCTGAAGAGACTAGTGAAGATAAATGGTTGTAATAGGCAGAGCTTTAGGCATTGCACCTGGTGATGCAATTTGTGTGGAGAGAGAGGTGGCCCAAGGTAAAGATACAGATAGACTTATGGGCAATGGAGACTAACTCCACAGGCTGGTCACGGAACTGGAAGGCACACAACTGGAAGATGGGGGACAAAGAGGTTTGAGGAAAGAGGACCCATGGGAGTGAAGACCTTTGTATTGTACGCTGATGCCCACCAGGGAGCGCTGACTGCAGAAGAGGCATTAAGCAAACTGGTGGGCAGGATAACTCATCAATAGATGTCAGCCAGCATTTGTTGTTAGCTACCTCAGTTCTTGTCCTAAAAGCTCATTTTTGTTACTGTAGTTACAGTAACAAAACTGGAGGCTACGCATCAGTCCAAAAGCCTGGGGCTCATTCTCACTACAGCTGATCTAGCTGTTGCCACTGCTGAATGTCTGACCTGTCAGAGGTTGACTTTGAGTCCCCACTATAGGTCCATTCCTTGAAGAGACCAACCAGAGCCTTGATAGCAAGTTAATTACGTAGGACCCCTTTTACCCTAGCAATGGCAGCATTTTGTTCTGACTGATTGGTACAAATTCATTGTATGAATTTGCCTTTCCTGACTGCAGTGCTTTGATAAGATCCACTATTTGAGGTCTCAGAATGTCTGATTTATGGACACAGAATCTCACAAAACATTTTTTGTCCCAAAGAGGTACGGTAACGGGCAAACGACTAGGGGATCCACGGATCCCACAACATACCACGCCATTCTAGCATAATATATTGTAACCACCTTCTGAAGGCAGAGGAAGGCACTAACTTAGAAATGATACCCTGTGAGGTTGGGGCACCATCCTTCAGGATGCAGCGTGTGCCTTAAACCAAAAGCCATTATGTTGTGTTGTCTCCAGTGAGTTGAATACATGGGTCTGGGAACCAAGGGGTGGAAAGAGGAGTAGCCTGGCTCACTGCCACTCTCAGTGACCTGCTTGGGGAATGCATGCTTCCTGTCCTCACAACTCTAGGGCATTGGTTCTAGAGGTTCTAGTTCCCAGAGGGAGAATACTTCACACTGAACCTAAAGCTACTGCTGTACTCCTATTGTTTTGGACTCCATGTGAGCAAAGAAAGCTATGATCATACTGGCGGAGGTAACTGACCCCAATCATCATAAGAATGCAGCGCTGCTGTTACATAATGGGGGAGGAATGTGTTTGGCACTCAGCTGATTCACTGGAGTCTCTCTTGCCAAGTTTTAACTGAAAATAGACAGTCGTGGCAACCACTGCCTGATAAAGACCTGGTAGCAAGGAGTTCAGATCCCTCAAGGATGAAGATTTGGGACACTCCACCAGGCAAACCCCTAGATCGGTAGAAGGGCTAGTTGAGGATGAGAGGAGTCTAGAATGGATGGTAGAGAAGAGAGATGATGGATGTTAGTTATAATCTTGGGACCAGTTGCAGCAGCAAGGGCTGTGGTTTGTCCCACTAGATTTGTGACCAATTAGAATCTTGAATAAGCTATGACAAGATGGAGACTTCATGTGAGAACATGTGAATCTGAGTGTTGCAAGGAGTGGACTGTAGTGGATGCTTCTGGTGCTCTGCCAGATCCCTTCAGAGACCTTTGACTGGTTCACTGTACACATCCCCCAGCTACTGGGTGCTTCTCTCCTAATGGCTCACACCTCCAACCTTCAGAGAACTACCTTAATCGACCAGATCCACTTCACCCAGGCTCACTCTGGAATCAGAAGTGCTGGGTGTGATGTCCCCCACTCCCTCCAGGAAGGCCTGGAGCCAGTGACTGATTAGTGCAGGGGTATAAAAATCCAGGTCCCTTGCCTCAGGGTGGGATCAACTCACTGTAACTTGTGCTCCAGAGCTGCCTTTGGATCAAGCTGAGGCTGGAACTTGACCTTAAATTGCTGCCTTGTCTTCTTCTCCTGCCCTATTCTGTTTCCCTTACAAGTTTCTCCTGGAAGCATGTCCTTAATAAATTACTTGCAAAGAAATCCTTGACAAGACAGTTCCCTAGTAGCACATAAACTCTTTGTGGATAGACACTAATTAGGGGAAAAAAAATCTTTTAATCTCCCACCGTATGTAGCCCGGCATGGGATACCTACCAGGAGTTGATCTGGGTTTTGGCAAATTCTTTGGTTTAGACTCTCTTCCCTTAGTAAGAATCTGAGGATGCTAAGTGGCGATTGCATTAGTATATTACAGACGGGGACATCTGTAAATTATCAGTGATACATCAATGTAAAACACATGCCCCAGGTTTTTTGGACAACCCTGATTTCAGTTTTTTAATCTCCCTGTCAGACCATTTCCAGACAGTGTGTCCCAGGTGGTGTGGTGTTTGGATAGCAAAGGATAATGTGCTAGCCAAGAGGCAGCTGAGGGAGAACACTTAAGCATTATGAAAAAGCAGGGACCTTGAAGTTAAGACAGGACCTCAAATCCTGCCTCCACCCAACCAGCTCTATGACCTTGGCCACATTTTGTTCGTGTTCTAATGGAGTTAACTAGCTCCTACTTCACAGAACTGAAAGGGAATTAATGTAGGCAAAGTGCTTAGCGTTGCTCCTTGTCCTAGTAAAGCTCAAGAAATGGTTCCTTTCGGAAGGGGAAGAACAGCGGATACAGCGTCTTCAGTGGAGTCCGGGGACATCACTATCCTTATAGAGCCTGCTTGGGCAGAGGCAACGCCCAAGTGTTTTCATTCACTTTTCCTCCCAGGGCACAGGACTACTTGCAAGGCAAAGGAAAAGAGGACGTCGTGCCGGCCAGAAGGGCAGGCCTCAAAGGAGAAAGGCCCTGACACCCTCGGCCACCACGTGGCTCCTCGACCTCCTCTCCGACCCTCCCCTACAGCCCTCTCGGCAGGGTTGAAGTAGGTGAAGGGTGGAAGCCGAGAGCCCACGCCGCGGAGGCTGACGCCCGCCGGCGGTGTCCTAGCAACACCCGCCCCGCCCCATCCTGCCCGGCTTGGCGCGGTGGCGCCGGGAAGCGGGGGGAGGCGGGCCGCCGTTGCCATGGTAGCGCGTCTGCCGCGCCCGACGCCGTCGGCGCCGCAGGGAAACCAGGGTTCCGGGCCCAGCGTGGGCGGCCGGGAGGCGCCCATCCACCTCCGCTGCTCCAGCTCCGGCCTAGAAGGGACCAGGCGCTCGCCCGGAGCCCATGGGGACCCGAGCTGTCTGCAACCATGGCCGGGGCGCAAGGTCGTTGGTCCCGACTCGGTCCCCCGCCGCCTGAGCCAGCTAACGGCCTGGAGACTTTACAGTCTGTCTCGTGGGAACGGAGTTGGTCGTCCGGGCCAGGTCTAGGCTGAATGAACTGTTTGGCTTTGGAATCTCATCGCACCTTTTTTCCCCAGCTACGCAAGAAACACGTACACACACGGCCTAGCGCCCCGTGCTTTTCTCTCAAGTGTTTCACCTGAAGGATCTTTAATCTTGGAAAGAGAATATGCAGAAAACAGAGCGGCTTCCAAATCAGCCATTTAAAAAACAACCCTGCAAATAAGTATCATGTTTCACGAGGGCCATTTTAAACTGATTTGTCCATGCCTGGAAGGGTAGTCTGGATTCTGGACTTGAATTTGCATTCTTCTAAATCCCTCTCTGCAGTGAGCTGCGTTTGGAGAATTCAGTTGTGGGGTGTTAAATTTAAACGTATACGCCCCTAGCTAGTATTCTGTGTTATGAATGCTCTGTTAAACGACCCAGTCACAAAGACAAAGCCACACGATCTCACTCATTCTCTGGCCTGAGAGGCTTTTTTTTTTTTTTTTTTGTACGCGGGCCTCTCACTGTTGTGGCCTCTAGCGCAGGTTCAGCCGCTCCGCGGCATGGGGAATCTTCCCGGACCAGGGCACGAACCCGTGTCCCCAGCATCGCCAGGCGGACTCCCAACCACTGCGCCACCAGGGAAGCCCTGGCTTGAGAGTATTTTTAACAGAGGCGGAGTCAGTCACGTGTTCGTGAGTTTAATCAAATGGACAAGGGATCTGAGCGAGAAGAGCTTGCTATGTAATGCGAAGACTGCATTAGGTACATAGAGATGCGTTCTCTTTGGATTTATTTGAATCAGAGCTTTTCAAATGGAATCTTCTCCTGCATATATTTTTTTCGATCTGCTGCAACTGGAAAATTTAAATCAAAAGCCTATTTCTTATATTCATTTCTATGGTAAATGTGTCTAGGCTGAGATTATGCATTTTCTTGATCAACAAGCGAATGCGCAGCAATCACTGTGAATTGAGCACCTCGCTGATTGAGCAACACTTGAAGCTGGAGGCAAGAACGGCCATAATCTCAGAATGAGAATCCTCCTCAGCGTATTTCACAAGCATGTTCACAGCTAACCTTTTCCCACTCTAAAGGAGCATTCACTTGGAACTTCTTTATTCTTCATTTTGCCAGAATATTTAATCTCTCAGAAAGCCTCTTTCACATACTTTTTCGGTTGAAAATGTAATTGGGCAAATGATCATATTATTTATATTTATATATGAATATGTGTGTTTGTATCTTTTTCCCTCAGTATCAAAACAGAACCTTTATTTTGCATTCGGAAAGCTAAATCAAGGATCTGAAAATAATAGTTTTATGTTTAGCACTAATTGGAGGGAAAAAAAAAGAATGTACAAAACTATGTATAGTAACAACTTTTTTGTGCGTAAGGCAAATTGCCGAATGTGCTTCCGATTCGGTAGTTTAAATGTTAGAATGGTGGAAACAACAATATATTTTATAATAAAATATTAGCATTTGCAAACATTAATTTTTCTTTGGTAATTTTCCTAGTGTCTGATTCTTCATTCATTACCCTGAAGTTCTTTTCACAGAAGTTATTTATCAGTATGAGCTTAGACCAGTTTGATTGCAAGGTATTGGTACGGATCCACACGTGCCTGACATGGCAAATAGAACTGACCATTTCAGCTCTGTAACTGGTTGGTTGTTCTCTCTAGGTAGGTAGAGGTTTGGTTATACCCATGAGTTAGCCCAGCCTTCACTCCTTAGAATTCATTGACCGTTTTAGAGAGTTACTGCATGCCCTACTTTATTAAGAATACATGAATGTCGAGAACCTTACTAGATTTTCTGCATAATTTCCTAACGTGAAAATGATCTCCACATAGCCATTGCAGTTAGTTTCCATTATTACAAGGTTCCTACCTTATCATTTATGGTTATTGTTTCTTAGGAACCTAATACTTATCAAACACAGGATCCATTTTGCATGCTCACCTTTCCTCTTTTCCAAATAATCAGTGACCTTAAGCTTTGAGCATCTTATCCTTATTACTGGCTACCAGCCTCTTATTTAATCCTGCGTTAAACTTGATTTACCGCTTTATCTGTACTACTTTAATCCTTTAGAGGCTTATCATAATATGGGCTCTTTAATGAAATATTTTATCATAAGAATAACCTTTCTCTACTTTTCCAGATTTCTCTATTTTTGCTCATTTACCCGTGTACCTTTTTCCTTCTTTAAATATTCATGTTTCCCACTTTCACTATACGATGAAATAAACCAAGATGCTTACTTGTTACTACAGAAATGACTGTGTTACCACAAAGTGTTCTTGTTTAGTGCTTAATTAGTTAAGACATTAGTTCTTAATGTCTTAAGTTTAGATCTCCCGATCTCGGGAAAATATAAATGCATCTGTTGCTGGAAGATTCCCCCATCTTGAAATCTCAAAATATTTGTTCCCATCCAGCTGCAAGGTCACCTAATATTCTCAGATCATTCTGTGGGATTTGAAGAGGCAATGTAGTGTAGTAGTTAGGAGACTACTACACTGAACTCAGACTGGGATTCAAATCCTGGTTCTAACGCTTACTAGCTATGTGATGTTTTGGGTTTTTTTAATTTATTTTATTTATTTTTTTATACAGCAGGTTCTTATTAGTCATCAATTTTATACACATCAGTGTATACATATCAGCTATGTGATGTTAATCAAGTTTTTTTTTAACCTTTCTAGGCCTCAGTTTCCTCATCTGTAAAATGGAGATAATAGCACTTAGTTCATTAAGTTTGGCAATTTTAAAGGATTAAATGACATAATTCTTGTAAAGCACTTGGCACGCAATCAACACTCAGTGAATGATGTTAGCAGTGCTGTGCTCACCATGATTATCATCTGTATTAAAACATTGTTTCCACTGTCACCAATTAACTTAGGCTAAATTAGTTTATTAGATTAGACTAACCACAGATAGACAGGATTCTGACAGGACATAAAACAGACATTTTGACTAAGGAGGGGAGCGTACAAGGAGAAAAGTCCAGACACCTAGCAGGCTAGTATTGGCACCAGTGTTACCTTGTTCACCTCAGTGGCTTCTTGAGCGTGCTTGCTGGCAGGAACAGCCCAACCCAGAAGTGAACCTGGGATGGTGCCAGTGTGCCGTGAGAACCTAAATTATATCCAGAACTTTGCTTCAAGGATGTCTGAAAACTGTGGCGTTCCCACCACGTCTGCAGTCGAGGAAGGCATATGAAAAGGAGGTTAGAACCTTGTCCACTGCTCTTCCCAAACTTAAGCTTCCAAATTATAGCAATAACGGGAATTACCTGGAGGCCCAGTGGTTAGGACTCTTGGCTCTCACTGCCGGGGGCCTGGGTTCAATCCCAGGTCGGGGAACTAAGATCCCACAAGCCGCACAGTGCGGCCCAAAACAACAACAGCAAAAAAAAACAAAGAAACAAAAAACAAATTATAGCAATAACAACAGATCCTCCCTAACATACAAATGCACTTGCCCTCCCCACAAAGGGAGACCAACCTTCCCTGTATCTATGTGGAGAATGTTCATTCTCTCTTAAGCCCAGTCACAATTCAGGTTTGATGTTCCACAACCTATGGGCTGAACTGTAAAGTTAATCATGCCCCCCAGACCCTTCATAAAACATTAGGGACAAAGGGGAGGGGAAAAAAATGAAAGTGGTTAATGTATGTAAATGATACATAAAGAGCAAGAAAAAACTATGATCCCTACTAGGATCCTCCGTTTCGCTATGGTTCACAAGTCCAGAGCTGGCAGTCACAATTTCTTTCCTCTGCTACCTGCTCCATGGCGTCTCTGCTCCCAGTAGGTTTGCTCAGTGGGCCAGCATCTTTGCCCAGTGGCATGATCTAAACCTTCCTTTCCCGGGTGTCTGAGTTCTAGGGTTGCTGGCGTCTGCTCTAACTTTTGCCCCTGGGTGTGGAAGTCCTAGGAGGCGCTCCAGAGCATCGACTGGCTCTCACTGTGTAGCAGCGACCTTCATTTTCCCTCATAGTCAGGAGCCCAATGATGACCAGGTGGGAGCCTCAACTTCCAGTCCAGTGAAACCGTGTATTCCCCGATGGAGGAGTCCACAAACCTCCAATTCCACGATAACTCCAAGTCACAGTGAGGCAAATAAAAGCTTTTACATAGCACCAGGTTTAATAAGGAGAGGTGCCGTTCTCTTTTCCACCCCTTGGTTTCCAGATCTGGGAGACCCGTCCGTGGGAGCATCAGCACCACCTAAGAGCACCTGTTTTGGAGCGTATGTCACACCGAGAAGGAAAGCACCTCACGAGCTGTGGCTCAGCTGTGTCCCCTGGCCGTTACTCTCTGCATGGCAGCCTTCTGAGTGATGGGCACATAGGTAGGTCAGCGAGTCCCCTGGAGGTCAGCCACCTGCTTTTTTCTGGCAGTAATGTTCGTTTCTTGGTCAGAAATAATGTTGTGTGGAATATTGTGAGAATGAATAATGCATTTGTTGCGTCCATAAATGGCATTGCTGGCAGAAGCATGGCAGGCAGAGAAGGCGAATCCAAACCGAAATAGTCCAGTGAGGACAAATTGTCGCCCCCTCCATGATGGAGGAGGTCAGTTATATGAAACCTGCTGCCAGGCGGTGTGATGTGTCACCAGGGGCTCAGCGTTAGCCCGCTGTTGGTAAGGTGGCCCTCAGCAGTGGGAGGTATCCGGATGTGCCTTGATACACGGAAGCCCCTATGACTGAGCCCAGGTGTGACCCCCATTCTTGCTTTTTGGCTGCTTTCTGGGCAGTCTGGGGTGGTTGAGGAAGCAGCTGACTCACAGGCACTGAACAAGGCATCTTATCTGCCTTATCATTTGGGTTCATGCCTCCCTCCCAAATGCCGTGCTGCCCTTTGGCAAGCAAACCTGTGGGACGCATCACACTCTGGGTTTATTCCAGGAGGGCTATATACATCCCTGTTCCCCAGACCACCATGTCACCAGTCACCTCTTTTTATTTCCAAGTCCCTAAACAAACCCATGCTTTTGATCATCTCTCTTTCTGTACAAACTGAACAACCGGCTGAATCATTTAAAGTTCTAACCACTGGGAAGATTGCTGTTCCCCACCTCTGAGTCTGTAATGCTGGTACAGTCCCTTAAAAGTGAGGCTTGCATGTTAGCCGGAACCATCCATGAGCCAGGTTCAGGATTTTTCTCTCTTTACCTTTAAAAAAAGTCTTTTCGTAGGGAACTCCTCATGAGGGTTTATGTGTGGATTGAAGGAGACAAGCAACAAGAACAGGTGCTGTGGGAGTGTGAGCGAACCACTCGAGCTCCTTGGACCATCTGAACCTGCACAGGCTCAGTATCCCATAGACCACTTCCACTTCCGCCAGCTTTGTGGCTGAGTGGATCCATGCAGCACCCACTTCATGATGGGAAGACAGGTCACAAGATCACTTGGTTTTCCATTGTCAAGCATTCAGCAAACCGAGAGCTGTTTCTTAATGGTTCTCTGCAAAGAAGATGCGGCTTTAGTTTCAAAATAGCAAAATCCTATGCTGAGACCCTCCCCCTGGGGCTCATCACAGGCTCCAGAGAGCACTCTGACCTGTCATAGATGCTGTGCCCACCATTAGATACTCTGGATCGTAAGAACCAAATTGCAGAACTGCCTGCTTTGGATCAGCTTGAGGATTTTCTCTTGCTCTCTCTCTCTCCCACTCAACACTGACTGCCCTACAGCTTACTTGGTAAATGATCAGTCACCTTAATACAGTGTGGATTGCTTCCTTCAGACTCATCTGTTATGGCCATGGTCTGGAAGGCTACCATATTCCGGGAGTAACCACAGTCAAGAATCTTTCACTAGACACAGCTCCAAACCATCGGGGTCCGCTGAAAACTCTCACAGAAAAACAAAATGCCTCCATGCCCATGCTTTCCAGAAGAAACAGCAGAAGCAGGACCTCTGCCCCATTTTTGTCTTCCAAATTTTACTTGAGTACTGAACCTACGTTAGAGCCACCATCCCAATGTCAAGAGAATTCAGGAAAGAGAGTTTTAGCCTTCCAGTCTCTGCTGTCAAGCCTATGGACGTGGACTCTGTCTGTGGATTGAATTGTGTCCCCCACAAAATTCATATGTTGAAGTCCTAACCCTCACTACCTCAGAATGTGACCTTATTTGGAAATAGGGTTGTCGCAGATATAGTTGGTTAACTTAAGATGAGGTCATTAGAGTGGGCACTAATGCAATATGACTGAAGTCCTTATAGAAAAGGAAAAATTTGAACACAAAAACATACATACACACATGGAGAATGTCATACGAAGCTGAAGACAGAGATCAGGGTTATGCTTCTGCAAGCCAAGGAATAACAAAGATTTCCAGCAACCACCAGAAGCTAGAGGACAGTCCTGGAACAGATCCTTTTGTTACAGCCCTCAGAAGGAGCCAACCCTGCCTGCTGACACCTTGATTTTGGATTTCTAGCCTCCAAAACTGAGAGACAATTAATTTCTGTTGTTCAAGTCACCCAGTTTGTGGTATTTGGTTATGGCAGCCGTAGCAAACTAATATAGACTGTTGTGACCACCCCTACCGTAATGTATGGTGCCCTTGTCATGGCTCATAAATGGAGCTCAGCAAGTCCCATCGCTGTTGCCAAGAAATGTCCAGTCCGTTATCTCCACTACTATTACTGCAATATCCATCATTGAGAAGGGAGGCCCCCAAACTATTTATAATGACAAGATAATTATTTCCTTAATGGGTTGCCATATTTTAACTCTGAGATGATTTAGAATTAAGCATAGAAACATGTTAAGAGGATCCAACCTTTAATATTTATATTTTATTTCAAGAAGGAATCTGTTCATATCTGTTAATTTTTAAGAGAATTTAACCTCTTGGTTAAATAGGTCAGTCTTGTTATCTTAAATAGAAATTATAATTGATTTAGGCGTCTGACTTCTCACTGAAACTTTTCCACATTTATACAAAGTGTTGAAACATTCAAGGGAATGTAATAGTTGTAGGATTATAGTAATGGTTATAAGTTATATAAAAATAATATGAATATATGGTTATATTTACAAGATTCAACATGGTTTACTAGATTTACAAGAATAATACAAACACTTGGAAAGTTGTTAAGATAGACACCTGAGTTACATTAAAAGGAACTCTAATACATCAAGCGTATACCTGTAGTTAAAAATGTTTGATGGCGTTTTAACTGAATTTATAAAAGCCTCCTTAAAAGTGATGGTCAAGATTTGCTAACTTTATATAAAGAATAATAAGATCTGTAAACTGAACCCAAGAGAGGGATTGGCAAACTTTCCGTAAAGGGCCAGTGGTAAATATCTTAGGCTTTGTGAGCCCTGTGGTCTCTGCTGCAACTACTCACCTCTGCCGCTGTAGCACAAGAGCAGGCATAGACAATGTGTAAATGAACAGGTGTGGCTGTGTTCCAGTAAAACTTTATTTTAAAAAGTAGGCAGCCTACCAGATTGGACCCATGGGCTATAGTTTGCCAACCTCTGACCTAAATGATTGACAAATTTTTTAATTTATAAGTTAATAGCTTGCTGTATAATTTCAGAGCTAGAGGGAATCTTAGAAATCATTCTGTTCAATCCTATAACTATTTACAAATGAGGTTATGGAGGATTTGATGGGCTACGTGACTTGTCCAAGAGTACATTATTAGAAGCACATTTATAACTTAATTCCATTATAAATTAAAGCACAAAACCAATAATGATGGAGTCTTTGTATTTGTAGAACCTATTTTGTGTGTATGTTCCAAACCTTCCACAAATAATGTGCAACTAGAAGGAGCAGATAAGTGCTTTACAGCTAAGAATGCGTACTATAGTCTTTTCAAAGTTTATTACAGTGAACCACTTGGAATCATAGGTGTAGGAAAAAAGATCGCTCATTCCTTTGGGTTCTTTACTGTTCTCATTTGTACTGTAATTCCTCTGTAGGTTTCCTAGGATTTATCGATAGAAGAAAGTAGTAAACAAATCAACTCTAACATCCTTTTTCAGTGTTTGTCCAGAGAGGGTTTGCCTGTTTTGTTTACTACTTTATTTTATTTAGTCTAATTACCTCCCTGTAAGAAATAGCACTGAGGAAGATTGTCTAAGGTATATGTTTTCATGCTGGCATTGAAAAGCATTAATAGAAGTTAAATGTGGACATCCCAGCATGCTGAAATCAGTTTACAACTGTAAAATATAATTTCCTTCCAAGCCTTTTCAAATCTGGAAGGTTGAGAATGGCTCGTTAAATTCAAATATTTATGTCATTTTGATAGTATCAGAAAAAGGAACTTATTTTCATTTTTTCTTTTATCTTAGTCTTGTTACAGAGTTTACAACACAATCCACTAAAACTAGGTTTTCCTCAATTTGGGGGACAGGCGTCTCACACAGACATGCACTTGTATGACCAGCATGGATTTATGGGGGTGGGGATCCTTGCTTTCTCACCGATTTGCCATCCAGTACTTTCTATATGTATAGAATGCACATATGTGCGTCTGGTTTATTCCACAATCGGTGTTATGCGTATACATTGTTGTGTAACCTGCTTTTGTCACTTAGTATGGATGTCTCCTCCAGTGATGAAGTGTTCTTTTGCAGTCTGATACTTAATGGCCTCGTGGTATTCCGTCAACCACATGAACCATCATTAATTTACCCACTCTATTGTTGGACATTTGTGTTTCCAATTTTTCACTATTATAAATGATGTTGTGATGAATATCCATGTACATAAATCTTAATGCCCAGTTCTGATTATTTTTGTAAGATAAATGCCTGGCTATGAAATTGCTGGTCCAAGGGATATATTTGTAGAACTCCTTGTTATAAGGATCACGAATATACATTCTTTTGGACTCCATATGCTGGGGAGTGTGCTATCAACATATTCTCATTTAATCCTCACAACAAATTCATGAGATAAGTACTATTAATATCCACATTTTTTTTCAGAAGAAACTGAGGCCTGTGCCCAGAAAATGGTTACTACATGACAGTGGTTGGCAGACCTGGTGTTTGGGCCCAAGTCTGTCTGACTTTGAGCGCAATATTCTTAATCACTGCACTATATGGCCCCTTCCATATTGCCAGAATAGCTTCCCCCCCAAATTATTACAATCTAGATTTCTACCAGCAATAGTGAGTGTGCCTGCTTCCCTGTACTGTTGAGGATTCTTTGATTACAAGTGAAGCTGAACAAATTTTTTCATGTTTGTTGGCCGTTTGTGGATTGTCTATTCACGTCCTTTGCAAAGAATACATGTCTGAAAAATTTCCCTTTGAGATAGAGAGTCAGATGATCTGAATTCTAATCACAGCTCTATCCCTAATTAGCTATGCGATGTCAGGAAAAAAAATCGCTGCAGAGTTCTGAGTCTCCATTTCCTCTTGTGGAAAACTAGATGATCAAATTAAATCATCTCATGGTTGTTCTCTAAAATTTTGTGATTCCATCCATCGGTCCACCCATCAGCAGGCCTTGTCAGTGGTCAACGGGGGAGGAGATAGGTGACCACCTATGCAGTATATTTTCATTTATGTATGTAAGGAACGGCCTCTAAATCATCTCTCCCATCCCCTGGGATTCAGGTGCCCGAAATCCCACCCTTCACTCCCTGGGGCTTTCGTTCTTCATTTTCGTTCATTCTTCTGCATCTCTCCTTCCTGCATGAAGGTTTCTTATTCTTTGGCTTCAGTGGCATTCTTTTCTTATGGTTTACTCCTTCTCAGGTTTCTCCCCCTTTCACCTAAAAATGTTGGGATTCCCTAGGTTTGCCCTTGGCCCAGTGCTCTTTTAACTAGATCACTCCCAGCCACAATGATCCACATGGGATTCCTTGCACACGCCATGACTCTTGCCTCTGAACCCTTGAACGTGTTCTCTTTGCCTGGGATGCTTTTAATCCTTTTCTTTCTAAACTGAGTCTGAGCGTGTCTTCTTCTGGGAAGCAGCCTGGCTAAAACATGATGCACGGGGTTGGAGTCAGTCAAGTCCAGGTTCTTCCACGTACTCACCGTGCGACCTTGGGTAAATTATGTATCCTTCCTAACCTCCATTTCCTCATGTGCATGATGGGCGTAATGAAAGTATGTACCTCTCGAGACTGTAGTGAGAAGGCACTGAAATCATGCATGCAGAGCTTGGCCCACTATGCTTGATTTTTTCTGAGCTTTCAAGCACCTCGTGCATACATCTATCTTAGCATTTAACATACTGCATTCTGAATATTCATCGTTTCATCTCCATTCATTAACACTGTGTCTGGCACACGTAGGCTCCCAGCCACCGTTTGTTAAGGGAATAAGTGAATCACACTGTAAACACCTTTAGGAGACCTTTTTTTTGGTGGCTATTGTTTTGGGTTTTTTTATTGTTATTATGGTTTGTTTCTTTGTTTGTTTCACTACAACCCTATCAGGAATGATTTCCAACCTGACATGTCAGGAAACAAAATTAATTCCCTAAAATAGATCTTTAGGGTTGGGGAACAAGGATGCCCAACCCAGAGAGACAGAACGGCACCAAATAAGGAAGTGAGACTGTATGGAAGACAACCTTTGTATCTTGGTGCTTTTGCTGTGGCTACTCTAAGAAGATCCCCTAATTCCCCTGCTTTTCTCCCTAATTCTAGCTGAAACTTTGGCCCTGTTAGTTCATCTTCAATGCGCAGGTTCAAGTCTATCCATATACGGAGATACCTAATGTTACCTGTTTCTCCCTGAACATCTCAACACAACCTCAAAGAACAAATGAGCAATAAAATATCTCAAACCAGATATCGTCGCTAAAATTTCTTTAAAAGTATACATGGTTAGGAAACAAACTGCCTTGGAAGGTAGCCACAGGCTAGAGATAGCAGAGAAAGAAAGGAGAAGAGTGTATGGGAAGAGGCAGGCCTAAAGGCTTGTTGAAAACTGAGATGTCTTTGGGGGAAGAAAAATCAATATGGGCTATGAATCTTTTAGTATAAACTGATGGTGAAAAGCATCACAACAGTCTTTTTTTTTTAAGCATTTAAAAATAATTACCCATGCCCATTAGCTGGTGTTTCTTTTTTTTTTTTTTAACTTTTAATTTTTTTTTTGACTACATTGGGTCTTCGTTGTTGTGCACAGGCTTTCTCTAGTTGTGGTGAGTGGGGGCTACTCTTCTTTGCCGTGCATGGGCTTCTCATTGCGGTGGCTTCTCGTTGCGGAGCACGGGCTCTAGGCGCACAGGCTTCAGTAGTTGTGGCTTGCGGGCTCTAGAGCACAGGCTCAGTAGTTGTGGCGCACTGGCTTAGTTGCTCCGTGGCATGTGGGATCTTCCCGGACTATGGCTCGAACCCGTGTCCCCTGCACTGGCAGGCGGATTCTTAACCACTGCACCACCAGGGAGGCCTCCTTACTTCTT